ATTTATTCCACCAGACCGTATATTTGGACGTTTAGAAAAACAATTTAAAAAAATTGCATGCATGACAAGCATTAATGATTACTTAAAAATTTTTGAAACAGTTGGCACAGTCATCAACGTTTCTTCTACAAATGTTTGTAAAGTCTATGATTGGAAGTCATCGTGTCTAAACATTTTAAAACCACCTGCAAATTGGCATTTTAAATTCGCACCTACCAAACGAATACTATTATCAAAATCCAAACAAAATAATGTTCTAGTCAGAGGAGAGCCACATTACTATTTAAATGTTGGCCAGGAAAGAGGCTTGTGTAAACGTGGAAAAACTTTAACATCAATGAAGCTTAACGTATTAAATAAAGGTGTTCAAAATATAAAAACAGCAAAAAAGACTGATGTAGACAATTTACTAAAGAAGCATTTTGGATGTGACTGGAGAAATTTACCAGATCTCGAATACTATAAGACTGTAATTAATATGGATAATGAAGAAAATAACGAACAAGATTATGAATCAGATTTTGGAGATATAAATGAAGAAAACGCAGAATTTGATTAAATAAAAAAATATATTATTTTACTGTTACATTATTATTTTCTAACATAATTAAAAAGATATTTTGATTGTCACTTTTTTATTTTATATTGCAAAAAAAAGTTTAAATGTTATTTTGATTGTTACGTTATTATTTTGTATAGTTAAAAAAAGTGTTTTAAAGCTATAAAACACCAAAATAGAAAATAAATAGTCAAAGAGTTCAAAAATTTAGTTTTTTTATTTCAAAAGTGAGTAAGTCCGTATTTTAGTTTCAAAAAAGAGTATGTCCAAATTAAAACATAAATTATTTAAAAAACTATTTATCCACGATTTCTATAATTCATAAAATAAATATATTATATTATTTTGGAGGTCTTGTTAAAAAAATGTCAGTGATTTATAAAATATTAGAGAAAATATCAGTTTTTCATCGATTGTGAAAACTTTGATTGTTAGGACATACGTCCTNATTTACTTTACATTACATTAATTTTAAAATAATTATTACAGACAACAAAACCAAATAATAAACTTTCCAATAATAAAATTAATAATAAAAAAAAAATAAAATTGGAAAATAGTAAAAACACAAAAAAAAAATGGTAACACAGTATCGACGTGGCATAGATGAGACAAGTACAGGTGATATCTCACATAATTATAATCACTATCATAAGAATCGCTTCGATGCTAATTTGCAGGTCTCAATACCGTCATAGTTGTACATCAAACCTAAAAAAAAAAAAAAAGTTTTTAAAAATATCACTCAATAGAGTCTATTATAAAATNAAACCTAAAAAAAAAAAAAAGTTTTTAAAAATATCACTCAATAGAGTCTATTATAAAATTTGATTATAATTGTAAAAATTGTTTGTTATTTTCTGATTTTCTAGATAATAAAACTGTTATATTTTTATATAATATCGAGCTTAATGACAAAAACCAAATGATAAATTTAATACTTAAATTTCAAACACATTCTACTGAAAAATTTGATTTTTTTTTATTGCAATTTTTATATTTTCGATTTGCAAAATGGTAAATGCTAGAGCAAAGTTTTCAGCATCATTCTATAATGTTATCTGATATATGTACTGAACTACTGTACATTCAACTGTAATGAGGCATTACAATTGAATCGGTCATTTCAAAAACGATATAAGTCATCAATTTTTTAATTATGACTTTTTGTCAAATTTTATAATTATATACCTGGTTACGTATTCTGTATAAAAATACATTTGTCAGACTTATATTTAATACAAAATTTACTATAAGAAACTAGAATCACTGTAAAAACTACACAAGTCATTGACTTATTATTATACATCACACGTTTCTTTTATCAGTACCATCATAATAGAATATTAATATTGTAGATATCAACCATGATAACAATAAAACGTTAATACTTTTAAAAATAAACGGTCAGACGTTCAAAAGATAGGCAGGATGTTATGGCCATTACTTTTGATTTTATGCAAAATTTACCCCTACCAAACATACCAGTACAAGACATTTTTTATTTAAGACAATTATGAGTGAATGGTTTTGGGATTAAAAATTTGAAAACTGAAGAATCTACATTTTACATGTACCATGAGGGTGAAACTTGCAAGGAGTCCAACGATGTGTGCTCTATGTTATTGAATTATATAAATAATAATATTAATTCAAATATAAAAGAATTATACTTGTTTTGTGATGGTTGTCCGGGCCAAAATAAAAATAATACCGTTTTACGATTTTTGCTAGCATTGACAAATAGTCAACGATTTGAAAGGATTTACCACTTTTTCCCACTAAGATGTCATACATTTTTACCTAACGATCAGGATTTTGGAGTTATAAAAAAAACATAAGAAAGAGTGATTGTATATATGTGCCAGATGAATATATTAAAATAGTGAATGCAAGCAGAGAAAAGTTCAAAGTAATAATGTTTCAGACGGATCAAGTTTACGACTTTAAAAAATGGTGGTTATCATACTACAAAAATACATGTTTATCTGTTGAGACAATAGGAAAAAAATTTTCTAAGGACCAAAAGCAATCCTTTACCCCATCTACATACATGATTTTCGATTATAATACACAATATAAAGGTATTGTATTCACACATAATTTTATCGATAGGTTATCAAAACACGCATTTAAACTATTAAAATTAACAATAAATAATATAGCATTGCTAACCGCCAAGGTGTATAATAATGAAGTGCCAATAAACCCCCATAAAATTGAAAACTTAAAACAAGTTAAAGATAGTTTAATCGAGAAGCATAGGTTATTTTATGAAGAAATATATAAATGACCAACTGCTGATGAACAAAATATGGAAGCTGAAAATGTAGAACTTGATGTGGAATATGATTACGTATCATGACAGTTTTCAAAATATTATGTATTAACGTATTTTTTATTTTTGTTAAGTTTTGATCAGTTGTTTTTAAATTTTGTTACTTTTTGTAAAGTTAAAAATAGGTAAGTTTTGTTTATTTAAAATAAAAACTATTTAATTAAAAAAAATTATTTCAGCTAGTGTAAAAATATTATTAACATTACTGTGTTTATCTATTTTATTTTGTTTCTTGACTTAGATTGTATATTATAAATTTCTATTGACTGCAAAAACAACATAAGTCAAATATGTTTTATCTGAATTTTATGCATTTTGGTAAAAGTTAGATAATTTAAAACTATGAATTATAAATATCAGAGACCTTAAAAATAAATTTGTAAATATGTATAAGTGAAAAAAAAGTCGAATTTCTGAAGTAATTGAGTTTTTTTTTGGTTCTTGAAAAATTTGAATTTAATGACTTATGCCGTTTTTGAAATGACCGATTCAATTATATTGACCCATTACTTCACAAAAAAGATCCACCACAGATACATGAGAATAACAAGAGTGCTGATTCTGTTTTAAAATTGAATGTTAAAAATAATCATTTAAAAAAAAAATTATTACAAAAATTTTAATTTGAAAATTACGTTTTATAAGTCAAGTAAAAGTATTAATAAAATGTCTTAAGAATCTGTAGAAAATCATGTATTTTTGCACTAAGAATTACTGTTACATCGCCGAGGTAGTATCGTATATAGAAGAGTTAAAATCAGGGCCGGATTTGCCCAAAAAGCGCCCCTAGGCTAATAAGGAACAATCGCCACTTTTTAGAACACGGATAGAATGAGAGCTAGCTGATTACCCCCTCCCAATTTACTTAAAAATTTGTATTTTCTAATATATAATGTATAGTTACTTTAAAAGTATTTAAAAGTCAACGTAAAAAAATTATGTACTGCAATTTTGTAGTTTAAATTATGATGATAAAAAAATCAATCGTGCATAAATTATAGTTAATGAATAATAATAAAAATAATAATTATATTTTTATTCTGTTAATAAACGGTTAATTTAGTAAATACAATTGTCAACTTTTAATGTAAACAACAAAAATGTGCACCGTTATAAAAAATAAGGAACATTAATTAATAGTACGTTTAGCGTTTCCTTGATTTGGTTGCTCGACACAATTTATACGACCGTCGTCGCCGATTATTATTTTAGATAATGTATACCGTCGTGCCGTAGCTACCCTACCCAATCACATTATATATTTAATACATATTATGTATATATATATATATATTGTAAAAAATATTCCGTGCTATTTTTATAATTTTACAACAACGAGCAACTAATTTACCAAAATAACTACATTAATTCTAGTAGATGGAAAATTAAATTCGCAGAAATGAATAATATCTAAAAAAAAGTCAAGGGGCGCTACGGCCGGCAAGCCCCTTCAAGTTGTGGTGCCCTTAAGCTATAGTCTAGTCCTAAATCCAGCCCTGGTTAAAATGACACTTTTGCCTTTCCGTATTTTGACTGATGGAGCAACTGACAACCTGTCGCCACAATTAGAATTTTACTAATAAAAATGTTTTCAAATGATACATTATTATTGTGTTACATATATAAATTTTCTCATCGAAAGGGAAATGAGACAAAACATATATTTTTAATGATGTCATCTTTAGGCTAACACATTATTTATTAGATAGAGACTCATTAATTTTAGGCATGTTTATGTTATTCATGAATATTGTGAGCAATTTTACACCTGATCTACTCCCATAAAGTGCTAATGGTTCCAAGAATATTCTCCAAATCTTCGATGCATTCTAAGATTATTTTGCGTTATTTACGAATATTCTTTTTAATTTATTTGAAATTATTCTTATTTAATAAAATTAAAACAAATTTTTTTAAGTATTAAAATGATTTTCATAAGATATATTTATGTATGACTTTAAAAACAGTTAAACAAATAGTCAAAAATACAACTATTTGCGACATGGTAAATAATAAAATAAAAATTAATTTTAAAATATCTAAAGTAGCTTCTAAAATTACAGGAAAATACTTAGACTAAATCTTATTCATTAGTATTAATGTTTTATTATTATTCATGTTAATAGGATAAAAAATGATTTCAATTAAAATGATATTATTATTCCACATTCATTTAACGCTTGGTGTATCTTTTACAAATATTCAGTGTAACTTTATCATGTATATGTTAAATGTTTTTAATCATAATAATCGATATTTAGTTGAAATAAGTGAAAACAAAGAGAAATATGATGTGCATAGTTTAAATAAGTATGGCAACGCAATAAAAAATCATGGCGAAATCGTACTAGTAATGTTAGATGTTTTAAGGAATACTAATAAAAATATATACTCGACAGAATTGATGTCGGTCAATTTTTACTTAAATAACGTATCCGAATATGTAGATTTTTATGCAAAAAATAATGACGGAATATATGATTTTTCCGATCAAACTTTAAGTATCCTTAAAGGTTACAAAATGTTTCATGAATTTTTTTTAGAACAGTTTAAGAAGACGATATTAAAATTTTGCAAAAATGTGATTTATGATCAAATATTTATTTATTGTCCTGATTACAACGAATCAGGAGAATATACTCCCGAAAATTTTCAATATGTTGCAAAAAAACTTAAAAATCGATTAATACAAACTGATAAACTACAAAACAACACTGATGGTTATATAAAAAAATTAGAACACAGTAAAATATATTTTGCTTTTAAAAAAGCTTTTATAAAGTCTAAATACTGGGAAATTTTACCAAAAAATTTATTATATTATGACTTAATGATCAGAAATCGTGAAATTTCTGAAAAAGAAATGATGAGAAGTTCTCAGGATAAACAAAATCCATTGTTAATAAACGAACGGAATAAAAATGTTTTAGATATAATTCGATTTGCACCACTCGCCATATTTTGTCCTAATAATAGTCGTTTGACACTTTATGATGTATTTAGATACATCAAATATAATTTTTATAGAAAAGATATAGAAGTATTTCATACACTTATACTAACAGCAACATTTCGTCCTATTGCTGTACTTGTAAGACTCTTTATCAGAATTCTTAATTCATCAACATACATTTACGATTTCTATGATAACCAAAAAGAATCTTTAAAATTCTATACAAATATTATTTCTGCTGGTAAAAGAATAATTGAATGTTTTCAACATTTTGTCAATATGAATCTATTTGGTGACAATCCCACTGACGTTTTTTATAAATTTTTAATTACAACTTCTCAATCCTTAAATTATTTTATTAATAAAAATAAATCAAATCTCACATCATTGACCACGGAACTAATGCATTCATTAAAAATATTTTTGTATTATAACAAAATTGACTTTATTGATTTATCTGGGATCACTACAAAAGACATTATCAATAATATGTTTAATGAATTAGAAGTTGAACTGAAACAAGTAGAAGAATTACTAACAAAGTTAGACCTTCATAAGGAAATGTTTAAAGTCATTACAAAAACTTTTAATATTAATCACATATTAGATAAAAGTTACACGCATGTTTTTAATAAATATGTATTACGTAAGTAAATTTTATATTATCTGCTCTTAAATATTATAAAAAACACAAACAATCTAATTCAAAATTGTTTATATATTTATTTTTCAAATATTGTTTGAACCTATTTCTATATCAAAATTATCATTTTAATATTCATTATTAAATAATACATTATTATATGTATCATATAAAAATGAAAGTACAATTATCTTTTATTTTTAGGTGAGTTATGTAATCCTGAAGATATTTACACATTATTATATAAATTCAACGATGATTATAACAAACAGATTGGTGAAGTTGAGGATAAAAGTTCACTTATTGATGATGAAAATAGAAACAAAATTATTATGCATCAAAATCATCCTGCAAAAAGTATAAATAATAGTGATAAATACGAATTAAATAATTGCAATTTTTATCCTAAATACTTGATAGATTACATATTGTACATATAAATTGTGTCAAATTTTAATATTTCTGAATAAAGTTTCCGATTTCTATTTCGACCAAAGTTAAAAAATATTAGTTTTACTATAACGGGTGGTTTTTTTTTTTATAAAAAAAAATTGATACTCTTTTTTAGCTCCATTGGACCGATTTCTTTTACACCGAATTCATTTGGATTTTTGCCTTCTAATAAGATTTTATTTAAAAGTTCCTTTAACTATTTTATGCCAACACCGCCTAATATTTTCCATATATATATACAGGGTGTTTTTTTATCATAACCCACTCAATTACTTGCAAAATAATAATATTTTTTAATTATCTTTAGTTACACATTATTCTTGAATTTTTAACTATGTAATACTTTTTAAGTTCATCCCTTATGCCTTGGAAGGGGGTCAACTTTGTTTTTTTAAATGGTATCGCATATTTTTAATTTAATAAAATATTTGAGTTTTTAATTTAATAGTAAATGGCATTTGAATTTTTAATATAACTTAATTCGTTTATTAGATATAATCATTTAAAGTTTCAAATTTTTGAATTAATATACAGGTATAATACACAAGGGATTACAAATACAGGTAGCTAATTGGTTTTTTATAACATCGATATTAGCAGGTACACAGCATTGTTATTATCAATTGTAGTAAGGCACATTGTTATGAGTTTATAAATACACTAACTGACAATACAGAAAGTATATCTATTGATAATCATAATTGATAATAAACAATCCGTGACTGAGACAGCAATGTCATAAAAATCCAATTAGCTACCTGTATTTACAATCCCATGTGTATTATACATGTATATTAACTCAAAATTTTGAAACTTTAAATGTTTATATCTAATAAGCTAATAAAGTTATATTAAAAATTCAAATGCCATTTACTATTAAATTAAAAACTCAAACATTTTATTAAATTAAAAATATGTGTTACCATTTAAAAAAACCAAGTTGACCCCCCTCCAAGGCATAAGGGATGAACTTAAAAAGTATTACATAGTTAAAAACTCAAGAATAATGTGTAACTAAAGATAATAAAAAAAAAAAATGTTTAAATTATTATTATTCTGCAAGTAATTAAGTGGGTTATGATAAAAAAATCACCCTTTATATATATGTATCCTTATTTTTTGTTAAATTGACACTGTACTATATAATTTTACTGTAAGAGGGAATGAAAATAATAAGATAGTCGACATTTAGAGATTATATTATTATAAACATTCAGTTTATTAAGATACAATAAAATTAATAAATCGTAGACATAATAAAGTTTCTAACAAGTACATAAAATACAAGAAATAAAAAAAAAAAATTATATAAGAATATGATTAAGGAATACGAATCTTGAATAATAAAATTATCAGTTTACAAAAATATACATCTTAAGCTAACATAAATATAGTAATATCAATAAAATGAAATATTTAAGGTTTTTTCTAAAAATATTAGTAAATCGTACAAATAAACAACAAAATATGATCGACTGACTGTTCAATTTATTATTTAAAATTATAAAATAATATATAAGATTATATATATACACCAAGATATATATGATGGCACTTGTACTAGGGTAAAAAGCGTAGGAGGAGTATCAGAAGGTTTTCGGATAAGAGTAGGAGTGCACCTAGTTTCTGCTTTAAGCCCTTACTTATTTTCTATAGTAATGGATGAAATTACTAGAAAAATACAAGGAGAGGTGCCGTGGTGCATGTTGTTTGCTGACGACATAGTGTTAATAGGAGAAAATAGGAAGAAAATTAATCAAAGGCTAGAGGTATGGAGATCAGCTCTTGAAGAAAATGGTTTAAGAATAAGTAGAAGTAAGACAGAGTATATAGGGTACGAATTTGACAGAGGAGAACACGATGTAGATGAAATAAGGAGATCAGTGATATTTAATTAATTAATTATTTTAGATCGTGTCAAGTGGAAGTTTAAGATAAGGGTGGCCTACCCCAAGTAGTTGGGATTAAGGTGAGGAAGAAAAAGAAGAAGAAGATTTTAACTAAAAAAACTAATAAAAAACAAGTTGTTAAAAAGATTTACTCAATAGAGAAGAGATGGCAAACCTATGACATGCGTGTCACAGAGTGACACACGCAACTGTGTAAAAGTTTGTCATCAAAAACCATTGGTTGTAGGACGTAGACTAAAATAAATTGTGATTATAAAAATGAAATATTAAGTTTATGGTATTATACCTACACTCTTTGAATTGAATATCTACACTGCTCAACAACTATTAATTTTATTACTTTTCGATAAGAAAATCTTATTCGATAAGAACTTTATTAGGTATATATTTATATAATGGATATAACGTGTGAACTGGTCCACGGCTAGCGTTAGTCATTACTCATTTGTCAAATTGAATGTGTTTCATGTGTTAAATTTTATCGTTGCCTTTGATTTGTCTGAATTCATCGTTTTGGCAGTTTTCATTATTGGTGAGTTTTATTTTTATAATAATTCAAAGGTTATATTTTTTAATAAATAATGTCAAAAAGTAAAAGTGGAAGATCATTTCACGAACAATAGACCGTGGATTATAGGGTAGTTCAAAAAAATAATAAAGCGTTGTGTTACTTATGTAATGAAACAGTAGTTAGTCGCAGTTTTAATGTAAAAAGATATTTTGAAACAATTCATACGGACATATTTTCTTTATTAACTGAAGAAAAGTTGGAATTAATTTCGCAAAAATTGAAACGTTTTAAAAATCAATCAAATAATTTCAAAGCTGCATTTAAACCAAATAATAATTTAACAGCTGCTAGATTTGCTGTATCCCACTGTATTGCACAGCATGGTAAACCAGTCTCCGATGGAGAATACATAAAAGAAGTTTTTTTAATGACATCAAATACTTTTTGTCATGATTTTGCGAATAAAAATGAAATAATAAAACTTATTCAAGATTTACCTATTAGTAGAAAATTTGTTAAAGAACGAATTTTATTTATGAGTGATGATATATCAAATCAGCTTCAAACTGATTTAGCATCAGCATACTTTTANCAGTAGTTAGTCGCAGTTTTAATGTAAAAAGATATTTTGAAACAATTCATACGGACATATTTTCTTTATTAACTGAAGAAAAGTTGGAATTAATTTCGCAAAAATTGAAACGTTTTAAAAATCAATCAAATAATTTCAAAGCTCCATTTAAACCAAATAATAATTTAACAGCTGCTAGATTTGCTGTATCCCACTGTATTGCACAGCATGGTAAACCAGTCTCCGATGGAGAATACATAAAAGAAGTTTTTTTAATGACATCAAATACTTTTTGTCATGATTTTGCGAATAAAAATGAAATAATAAAACTTATTCAAGATTTACCTATTAGTAGAAAATTTGTTAAAGAACGAATTTTATTTATGAGTGACGATATATCAAATCAGCTTCAAACTAATTTAGCATCAGCATACTTTTTNAGCTTCAAACTGATTTAGCATCAGCATACTTTTTTCGATTTGTCTTGATGAAAGTACAGATGTAACTTTTCAGGCTCATTTAGCAGTTTTTGTTCGATTTATTAGTGTTCATATTATGAAAAAAGAATTTTAAAAATTAATAACAATTTCTACTAAAACAACTGATCGTGATAGTTGACACGACTTACGTCGCAAAAATGTGGTCGACACTGGTTTTGAGGGTAGAGACCCGTGGGCCGTTTATTAAATGAGCGACAACAGATTATGTTAACAAAAATAAAACAAACCGAAAATATAAACACAGTAATAATAAATATAGTTTAAAAAAACTAAAAAAACACGCTTTTAAAGCACATCGAACTAAAAAATTAAAAATAATTTTTAAAATAATTATGAATAAAAAATACTAGTATTATTGTGATAAAAGCGTCGGGGCTCTCAATATACGAAAAATATGGCACAAAGCACCCACGCTTTTATCACAATAATACTAGTATTTTTTATTCATAATTATTTTAAAATTTATTTTTAATTTTTTAGTTCGATGTGCATTAAAAGCGTTTTTTTTTTAGTTTTTTTAAACTATATTTATTTTTCACTTTTTAGTTTTATGTTATGATAGTAGTTACTATCAATATCATGGTTGTAACGGGTAACGGGAAATCAGGGTTCGATTCCGGGAAGGGAGTCTGAGAAACGGCTCCCACATCCAAGGAAAGCAGCAGACGCGTAAATTACCCACTCCCGGAACATGGAGGTAGTGACGAAAAATGACGATATTGGATTCATCCTTTGTAATCGGAATGGATGAGTTCTTTATTTTTAAATAAGAATAAAGTATGTTAATATATATTTTTAATAGTAATTAGAATATATATATATATACATGTAAAGCGACTTACGCACGTAAACGTAGCCGTGTTTTGTGGGCAGGCGGGTCGGACTAACGTTAAACCTGAGGTATAAACGACGGTAGGAATATATACGTAAGCCGTATGCACGCGGATGATAATGGTCAGTCAAAATAAAAATTTGTTTATATATATATATATATAATATTAATGACAAGCACTCGTGTACGGGTACGATAACCAAAAATAAATTTATACAGGAATAGTATTGCCGGCGTGTAATGAGCGAGGCATAGGGTGGGGTGAATGCGTTATGACAATCTTGTCTAGACGACGGAATATGCGATAACGCGTGGCGTTTTGAGAGTTACAAACTTACATACATACATACAGGTGAAACTAATATAAGCGTGTTAAAAATCAATATTCAAAATATTGTGTAATGTTGCAGAATTTGACTAGTTCTTTTTAGTAAATTCTTATCAGTTAATGGTGTGTGCATTAGGTATTAAGTATGTCTCCAATTATAAAATTAACTTATATACCAGTCTACCGATCCTATGGTCAGTACCCGGTTTGTTGTGACATTTTAACCGCACACAGTGCATCCCTACATTTATGTAACTCCTCATGAACCAAGTCAAAGTTGGCACCTTCACCACCCGGTGCAACGATCACCGGCCATGACTACTGGATTTTTATTTTCATCTCAGCTATACTACCAAGGTGACAAGTCGTGTTTTTTGTATATT